CAGTTATGACTGGTCAAAGCAAGTTCCTTGCCCTGCTGCCAAAGCCAGATGAAGTTGGGGGTGAAGCTGGAGGATGCAACCCAGTGGTGTAGAACTAGAAAGACACTTTGTTTTAGACCAGACAAAGGAAGATTACTGGCAGTACTGTGAACTGTGAACTGTGTGGCTTATTCTCATTGCTGTAGAGCTCTGTAAATGTTCATGTCCCTCCTGCCTACTTTCTAGCTATGGCTTTAAGATAAAATTCACATCTCTTTCTGAAAGGTGTGTCAGGCTATAAAGTGCTATTTTGATATCAGTGTAAATTGCAAAAGAATGAAGGGCACAGGGCAGGTACACTTAAGGTCTGTCATGCTGCAAATACTGTAAGTCTGCTAAGGACTTTGAAGGAGAAGATGTTCTGGGTTGGGGAAGCAATGGAGGGACATTAGATCTGCATTCAGCTGGGGCTCTGCCATTCCAAGACAGCCATTTAATGTTGTCTTGGTTTTCCTGTTATCTTAGAGGTACAATCCTTTATCTAACTCTTCAGATAGCTTGATTTCTTAATATTTTAAAAGGACTATGTAATATTTAAATAGAAGGTGATAGGAAAGAACAGAGTGATATCCTAAAATATATAGGCCTTGAGTTTTTGGATGACTTGAAAATATTATGCCCCCTGAAGTATATCTTAGTAGCACCTAGGTGGAGCTCCTACATGTGGCTGTCTTGAATCCAAACATTCAGACCCAATTACAAAATGTAACCAGCCTGGATTACCACTGATTTTATCAAAAATGGTCAGTTGTTCCCACATGAATGTGAAAAAGAATATCTCTCTTAGGTAGACAATTAAAAAAAAAATATTTTTGTATAGGAGAATCCAGACATAATGGGGCGTTTTCTACTAAACTTAAGGAGGAGACATATCAGGAAGGCACTATAAGGAACTCTGATCATGGCTGCACTGTGAATGCTTCTTTTCCAAGCTGAAAGCAAAAGAGGTAGCCACAAGAGGGAGGCAGAACTCCTATGGCAGTATAGTAACCTTAGAAAAAATAAATCAGAAATACACTTTCAAATTTTCCTTCCTTGGGCTAAAACTGTGCAGTAGCTCTTGCATTGAGAACAGTAATTGTTGGCTGTAACTCCTATGAATGTAGCCTCCACACATGGTAAATACTAAATGGTTAATGTAAGCAGAAAATTAATAACTAATAAAACATTTTCCTAAACCTAAAATTTAGGTAAGAAACTACTTCAGGAGAGATTGAAACTGATTGTCATGTTCTTTTTTGTAGATGGGAACTAAGACTACCCCCATTATTCAAAGGTTGTATTTGTGCTAGGCTCTAATACAGAAATATTTTGTTTCTGGAAGAATACTTTTTATAACAATTTGCTTCTTAGCGAATACATTGTAAAGATGTATTTAAACAGTTCCATTTCCATAGCACCTCAGCAAACAGAGAAGGAACTAGCTCAAATGGTGCTATTATTTATCCTATTAACTACTTTCACTGGGAAACAGGCCTTCTAGATTCAGTGACCTCAAAAGAGAAAGCAATTTACATGGAGGGAGAGGGTAGGTCTGGTGTCTAATTTCTGCTCCAAGGACATAGTATACTCAACAGAATTTCATAAACAGCAGTCAAGGATTGACAAACCTGGTCAGTACTCTAAACCCTCAAAGTCTTCAGTCCTTCTTTTCAGTCTTAAACTGTCTTCACCTCTGTACTCACCCTCTAGGTAGCCTCAAACAAGAAGAAAGGGGTCCCAAACCCGTTCATTTCCCAGCAGTGCAGTGTTCTGACAAGTGCACAGCTTTATAGTACGCAATGCACATTGTGAGCAGCAGGTTGGAATCCTCAAGAGAGGGAGAGTAGGGGAATACCTTGCTTGAAAACACAAGTTGGACTTGGCTGTATAGAACTGTGGTAGTTTGGGTCACATACAGGAACAGTTGGTGTTTGCAGACATCTTTCATGCAAGTTTATGAGAACTTCTGGGAATTATGTACTTCCAGAAAGAGGCAGAAGCTGCATGGGGGTGGATGAGACAAGATTAGTGGGCTTGGCTGCCCGGACTTGGACTGAGCCACAGTGGCTTACCTCGGGGTGGTGGGGAGTGGCTGTCTCTTTTAAGAGTGTCCAGAAAATAAAAAGGTCAAACTTTTTTGTCAAATTGTTCTTTCCATCAATGCATAATTGTACATATCCTTGCATGCCTATACAACACACACAAATGCTTTTTGTTTTTTATAAAAAATAGTTAAACATTATCCTATTACAGCGTTTTTTGTTGGAGGTATTTAAAGTGCTTTATGGATGTAAATTTAAACTGAGTATGTACATGACTATGCAGACAGGTAAGGATACTTGGGTGAAAAGGCTAGTCAACATCACTGAAAAATTAATTTGTCTGTTGTCCTTTTCTTAGCTAAACATGGAATCAGCTGAGGTAGTCAACTCTTACACCCAGTTTTGAGATCCAGCTGATTTACAACGGGCCAAATTCTGCGTGGAGTTCATAGTCCTGAAAACCGGTGAGACGTGATTCGTTGAGGCTGCTTGGTGCAGCAGGTCAGTAGTCCAGGCAAGAACCTGGCAGTGACCGCTAGAGAGCAACAGTCCCTTCACTTCTGAGAGCCCACGGAGGGTGAGCACGCAGCCAAGTGCCTTGTTCCAATCTGTGGTTCACTTCTCCAGGTAAGACCCATACCACGGACCCCAACTTACCAATCAGAAATGTCAGTCAATTCACAATTTCATCATGCCGTGTCTGCTGGCCCTGAACAATTTGAGAGCTGATTTTGACAATGTGGTTCAGATCCAAATTCAAATTTATTTCTTTAAAAGCCTTCCAGTCTTCTATAATATTCACATTAATTTTTACAGCATTTGTTCCTTTGTTCCCAAGATGAGTATTTGTAGACTGGAACTCCCCAAGTCACATGTTTTTTGCATAGTTCCTGACTTGTCACAGGACTTTGTGAGGTATTAGTACACATTTTTCTCTGCTGAGATTGCAACTTCAGCATATCCCATTTTGCCACCAGCACTGCCCTGGATGTTCCCCTTGCACCAACTGTCACTTCCTGAGAGCCACAGCAAAGGGTACCTGTAAGAATTTGGGAAAAAAAAATCTAAGAAACCTGCTGACTGCTGCAGTGAGAAACAAGGTTTGAATAACAGGGATATGGGCACAGGGGATGCCATAGCAGTTGAACTCTTAATCTCAGTTGAAAACTGTCTGCAGTTTTGCTTTTGTTTTGGTTGACCTGAAGTCAGAACTCCGCTACTCTGCCTGCATCTGTGCACTGACATGAGGTTTTCCCACTTCACTCCCTTTCAATCTGAGGACTCTCTGTATTAGTACAATTACTGAACTGACCATGCCCTAACAAAATTGTTTGCTTCCACAGAGAAGTTGAGCTCTCCTTTTCAGTCCTGCATCAGGAAAACCTTTACAAAAGAAGCTCCCAATTTTAGAAGTTACTTTCAGCTGTATTCAGCTTGTATTCAACCTTTTCCTTCAAAAGCTCTTTAGACTGAGCTGTCTGCTCCCAGTTTATCTACAGCCCCTGGGGTAGTAACAACTGGGAAGCTGCAGAAGGCCCCCAACCAGGGAAGGACCAGTCTTCCCAGACCTCCTGAACCCCAGCATGTGTCTGCCACTTGTTGAATTACCCCAGTGCTACTTAAGGCAGTACTACAGTTACCCCTGTCCATTAGGCTTTGCTGTCCCATTGTTCAGAGCTTCATGTTTCAGACACATCTGCTGGGACCCCGGGACCCACACCTGCACCTAAGGTGAAACAGTGGGCTGCTCCTCCATCTTTTGCTTCATCTCCAGCTGACCTTCACCACTTTTTGTCTTAAAAATTTACAATATCTGGACTAGTCAGGGTGGGCAGTCATGTCAACTAAGAGTACTGAAAGAAAACTGTTTTTTTCCTCTCCAGATTGTGCTATCTCCCTCTAGTGATGTCTTTTGTTTGGGTACACATTGCACTGGCACTCTGACCTCCCCATCTCTTGTAGGGTGTTATTTTGGCTTATCTCTAAACACTACACTGTTACCAAGGAATTTTGAGCTCCTTGGTTTTAAAATTTCTGTGTTTTTTTTTTTTCTCTAAATATTTCTTTTAAAAAACATTATGCATATTAGCAAGCTATTAGGGTTAATAAAATCCTACCCTATCAATTTGATATGTTCATTTCCAAAAGTCACTGAGTATCTGAGTTGTAGTAAAAAACTCTTAGTACTAACAGCCACTGAATCTTAACTTTCCTTGTTTCTTCTGGCTGACCTGATTTACTCTTAAATAACAAATATGAGGCATCGTACCTTGTGTACCTCCATTTTCTGATACTGTAAAACGATTGACTGTCAATTGTACTGAGCTCAGAGCAATACTCTGAACAGCACTTACGATGAGTATCTGATTTTATTTGACCAAGAGAAGTACCCAGCTCTTCAGTCTGATACAAGGAATGCTTTTTGAGAAAAACAACAAACTGAAGTTGGTCTCAGTGACTCTGAGAGAAGTGGAAAGATGTATGAAATGACACACGGCTTACTGAACTTTGAGAGAACAGAGAATCATAGCAGAGGTCTCTATATATTTTAGACCTGATACTTGCTTTGCAAACACGTTCTGATCACAGGAAGATACCACTCTTTCATGTACTCCTGATTTTAGTGGTCAGAGAAGAGACCACTGAGCGAGACTTCAATCCTCAATTACTTTGTTTCCCAACGCTGGACCATCTTCCATATGATGTTAGTACTACTTTAAACTGTTATGTGACTCAGGCTCTAGGCCTGCTCCATTTCCCTTGCAGTCTATTGTTCAAGCTGCCTGATCAAATGAAGTTATCTCTTTTCTGTATGTGGTCCCTTAACTTATGTTGTCCTTTATACCATTCAAAATATGCCTTTTCCTCTTCTGAATTCAAGACCTCTGATTTTTCAGAATATACAGCACATATGACTTCAATTTCACAGTGAAAATGTGGATATGCTATTTCATCTTAACATTTATTTAAATTTTCATGTAGTTTAAACAAAAACATGACATCCCGTTTCAAGTGATATAATGAAAAAAAATAAACCACTTCTACGAAGTTAGCCAGTGTACAGACTTACTTATTTTACAAAATAAGAAGGTAGGAACATGTTACAAAATAATAATTAAACCAATCAGTGTCAATAGTGCAAAGAATAAATTGCAAGTATGAAAGAGAGAGATAGGGAAGGAGGGTAGGACGGATGGGAGGATGGATGGCTGAATGTGTGAGGGGTGGCTGGCCGACTGAACAAAACAGGAACATTAGGAAGAGCTGTGCATGTTATCACACAAAATTTTGTATCTTAGACATGTCATGATGTAGATTTAACTTTAGTGGCAGAAGAGGGTAATTATTTAATCCATTAAGTGATCTCTGTGTGCTTTAAATTCTTGTGGTGGTCAGTTCTAGAGATTAATACAGCTATGCACACGAATTGCTAAGAGTCACTGAAATAAATTTTTCACCATCTGGAACAAAGGTGACCTATCAAGGACTTGATTAGTGCACTGAAGGGCCAAGGAAATGACTGAGAATTTTATACAAGCAAAAGAGCAAGCACCTCCAGGCTGAACTTCATACACCTTTTCCACTTGCTTTCATGCTCTTTCACATGCAATTCCTGTCTATCCTGGGAGGTGACTGTTCAAGAGGGAGTTTTAGCAGCTACTAAATAATGTGCACAGGTGTTGGACATCCTATCAAGTAACTGTCAGCCAGCAACCCACCAGAGAAGGAACATTATTTCTGCAGTGATACTGCTGTATCTGACTCCTTCATAGGATGACTAAATTTAAATCTAAATAAAAGAACAAAAATAACATCAATCAGTTTTAGTATTTCTCAGATGAATTCACCCATTTTCCTTTTCTAGCTGAGTGTCCATAGTTAATAAATGTAAGAGACATTAACTAAAATAAGCTCAGCTGCCTGGAGATATTGTTTGTCTTTACCCCTTGTGATCAAAGACATTTCATGTTTCTAGGCAAAATTCCATACAATACCACAAGTCTTACCACAAATATTAAAACCCTAATGAGAAATAGAAAGAGGACTGAAAGTGGGAATTACTTCAGGGAGTAAACGTATGCTTACCTTGAAGGCACATTTCCTGCATGGAGTATTTGAGTACTACAAAGCTTTCAAATATACCAAAGGGCAGTGACTGCATCTTTCTCAAAAGAAGCAGTAATCTGAAACTAGTCGGAGAGATTTTTCCACATGATTAAAAAAAAAATCCTCACTACAGGCACTGCTTGTATCTAAATAATTTCTGCTACTTTCAAACTCACAAACTTCTCAGTTCTTTTCCCTTCATTCCAATCAAGTCTGTTCAAATTACTACTGTACTCACATGGGTGAAGAGTATATGTACATAAAGTACATATATGACAGTGTGTAACACTGAAAAATTGGCACTATTTAATCAATAAAAAAACAGTGGAGACCTCAGTAAGGGCACTTAGGATCCCAGTGTTCAAATTCTCAATGCTTGTAGTGGTGCTGGACTGAAAAAATAATTCAGTTGAGACACCTGGTGACACCAACAATAGACCTTTTAAAGATTTTGGTTATTAGCAGTCTTTTGAAAAATCAAACTACTTAGTTTGATTTTCCTTAGGAGATAAGGAAATAAGATCTTTTGAGATTCTGGCTGGGGAACTCTTGAAAATTCAGTAGCAGGTACATCTAAAAATCTCTCCAGGGATGAGAATGGATTAAAATAGCTTTCATATAAACCAGAACACTTATCCAGTTTTGCCTGCATAAATTATGATGACTGGAAGAAATACTTCTGTGTACAACTACTCAAGAAAGATGAGAGTCAGGTTTTTCATTCACTGATTCTGAATTGAAAAAAAAAAAAAAATTAGTGATGAAGCGGTACAGAAATTAAGTAAATCCATAAAGCTCCAGTATGTTTATCTTTCAGTTACTGGAACATAGAATATTCTGTGGCACAAGTATGATAGAGGCCGAATAGTTTAACAATTCAACAGTGATGGAAAATTATATTCCTTTTATTTTCTCCCCTCTTAAGGTGTACAACATAACTTTGCTATCTTGTATTACTTATTTGTGTTTCCATGAGCTGAGCGGCAATAGGCAAAAAAGTCAGACACTGAGCCTGCAGGTCAGAGTAGAAAATCTCCAATTCTTTCACAAAACATTCTCACATTTCCTCAGTAACATCTCAGCACTGCTTCAGCTTGGGGTTTTCTTTTCTTTTCTTGATGGTGGGATTTCAGAAACTGTACATTAGGAGCTGCACTGGAAAGCAGGAAGACCATCCAGAAATTCTTTGACTGCCTTTGAACAGGAGTGAATTTTGTAGAGGAGCTGCCATGAAACTCATCACAGCCAGCCTGTGTCAGAGCTGAGAATCAGTCACAAATTCAACCCTGTGCTCCCAGATATTTCACAAGCTATACAAGTTATCATTAATAATATCATAAATTTTAATCCATTGATCTCAAAATTCTTAATTAAACTTAACAGCATTCTTCCATTTACAGAGAGATGTTGCACATGCTTAGTATTAACTGGTGTGCTCCAAGGAGCATCCTGGGCCCAGAAGGGCTACCTGCAGTGGGGTATTACAGGCTTGTCAGTAAGTGCTAGAAGGATTGAGACTTTACCTATTTACAGTGGTGTACCTGTCTAAGTATGTGTCACTAGGGTGATGCAGGCTTGAAATGTAGGTGCATATAAAAAAGGCATTTAAAAGTTCCCTACAATTTATTTTAAATTCTACCACTTCCAGTTTCAGACTCAATGAAATTAATTTCATTATTTATTTGTGATTTTAACATTGTAGTAAATTTTAAAAGAGTCACAGTGAAAGTACTAAATAAAGAGTGTATTAATTTTTTAATATTAAAAGCAAAATGAAAAAAAATTATAAAAAAGCTTTCATTTTAATCCATTATGATTTTAAATTACATTGCCAAAGTTTTCCAAATGTGTATTTTATAGTCAGTAGTAACCTTTCAAAAGATAAATGATTTAATAAATTACTTTACATTTAACATTATGAGACAAAATATTACACAAGCCATAGAAATAACTAAAATTGGGTACTTTTAACACTGTTTTCTCTGAAAATATGTGTAAATGAGTGATTTATATCTTCTGCACTTTTATTTAGAAAGAGGTTTTAAGACTTGCTATTACTTTCAGCTAAGTGGGGATAAAAAATCTCCATGATAGAAGCTTGCTAATTTTTGGAAAGAGATTTTGGGGCCCAGTTAATGGGAGTATTATAAAGATACAAGTTACTTATACTGTAGGTTCAAGATAGAACATGAAAATATTGTGCTGGACAGACTTCCAAGGATTTTCAGGAAAACAAACAACATTTTCTGTTGAAGTAATTGTGTTCTGACGTTTTCAATAACCACCCATTTTACCCATCCAAGAAAACATACAAAAACCCCCCAAACCCAAAACTAAACCACCTTGTTTTTCCCTTAAATATCTTTCTAGGCAGGAATGATCTAATCTTAGCAAAGTCCCTCTGGTATCTCCACTATTGTAACACACATTCCCTATTACTAGCAGCCATGACCATGTTTAGTCAAGATACCAGAATGGCTCAGACTACAAAGTAAAAATGTTAAGAAATTGCAGAGGCTTTCTTGTAACTTGTGCAAACCCCATGAAAACGTGCACAGTGACATGTCATTCAAGGGATGAGACAGGAAGGGCTGAACAGAGGGACAGCTCTGTGATCAGCTGTCCTGACTGTAGTTCATCTACTTCAACACAGATATCATTCTCTTGCTTTAAGATGCAGAGTGTGTTGATTCTTCAGAATGATGCTCAGGGTTTTCACTCTGTGGACCATTTCAGAAAGGAGATTTTACATAATTTTTCACTTGATCCTCCCTGAATTTTATTTGGCAGTTCAGAAGGAAGCAATTCAGTCAAAGGCCAAACCAAAAGGCATTGAAACAAAATACTTAACGTGGGAGGGCGAGATTGTGAGATAAAGGCTGTTTTCTGGTGTGGCTGAGATGGTTGCCAGACCATACTTGAGTGCAGAACCTAAACAGTGAAAAGGCAGAAAAGGCAGGCTTGATTGTACAGCTGTACTTGTTCCAGCAAAAGTCTGTGGATCCCCTCCGAACAAACCCTGAACACATTCTTCTCAAAGTAAGGATCTTCAGAAGCAGAAAAAATTATACCCTTCAGAGCATTATTTTAAAAGTAGTAGTCCCTATTCTTTTAAAAGAAAAATACACAACCTCTGCAAGTCCTTTCTTCCAGGTCTGTTAATTTGACCACCCCTCTTGGGACTTGCAGACTGATCTTTCTTTACTGTGTAGCACATTCATTGACATCTGCAGTACTTTCTCCCTTCAGATCCTCATTCAAGCTTTTTTTCTGCTCTATTTCGACCTGGTAGAAGAAAAAGAGGAAGAAAATTTGTAATGAGAAAGGAAAACAAAAGATTCACAAATCTTTCTCAGTGGTGGTTCTTGTGCTCAGGTGAAGAAACTCTTGGTGACCTGAGAGGGCAGTGAGGAAAAATAGACTGAGGATCAGGGTAAATTTGATTTTATTTACTATAAGGATTTTCAGTCTAATCTAAGCAGTTCTACAATTTAGCAGTGTCATGAAATGATTTCCAGAAGAGATAATGTCATGCATGACTTTATATTCATCACCATTCCCGGATGTACTCTGAATATAAGCTCAGAACCAAATCTGCAGACGATAGGTGGCTTTCTACGTGACAGCAGAAAATCAGCCTTAATTATAAATTCTGAGAAGACTGATGTATAAAGAAAAGAGATTTTTTAAATGATCTTGAGTTTGAAGGGACCCATAAGGATCATCAAATCCAACTCCTTGCTTCTTGAAGCAGTGCCTAACACTACCCCAAATCTCAGCACACTCCCTGCTGTCCTCAGGCTCAGAGGTGCTTTGGCCTACAGATACCAATTTGGATGGGACAGGGCCAAGGGGATCTGTGTTTGGGTTCTAAATTTCCACATCTCCAAAAACTTGGGAATAATCCAGTGTTTCAATTCTTAAAAAGAGATACTTAGGAAGATCAAATATTATCTCCAGGGAATTTAAGAAACTACTAAAAATATAATTACAATTACCAATAAAAATATTTGCCATGAGAATCTTTTCATAATCTCTTTATCATTGCTCTCAAAGACGGCAAGTTAGGATGCCAAATTCTCTGCTGAGTATTCAGCTAACATGCAAATCACTGAGATATTTTGGCAGGCATATACACAGTGCACTTTCCTCTCTGCTCCTCTCCTTAGGGCAGGCAGAAGAAATAAGTATTTAAGCAGAGAAATACTGTGATTCTTTTGTCTGCAGTAGGACTCCCACGGTAGCACTCCCACTAGGGAAGAGCAGCAAAACTCCCTGTTCAAACACTCCATATCAGCTAATCTCCAGGAGTTGGCTGTGTGCACGCTCTTCCACAGCCAACTGCAAGGAAATGTATTATTCCATCTTTGCTGAGATAATCCACTGCTTATTTGCCATGAGCCAATAGCTGCACACGGGTAGCTACTGCATGCAGCCTGGCATGAGCCAAATTCCCACCTCCATTGTCCATGGTATTTTATTTGTCTGCCCATACTTTTCAAGACAATGAAGCATGCAAAGTAACCATGGTGATTAGCACCGCTCAGTTTTACCTTGTAACTGTAGTGTGCTGAATAGTTGACCCACTTCCTCACATCGGTCTTGTCCTCGACAGAGATGGACCGAACAGTGGCTTTGGACGCAGAAGTGGTGGGCATGTCAAATTCCACATCTACATAGCGGACAAAACTGGAAGGCACTTCCCGGTCAGAGCCAAGCTCTAGGTGACAGAAAAAGCAGTGAGGATGGCCAGAAGCTGGAAAAAGAGAGCAAACAGTCATTAGAGTTGTGTCAGATGAATCAAAACACAACACCTAGCAGAAAGCAGCATCATGAAGCTGCAGGAAACTGAGAATCTCCCTAGGTGAATTAGTTCATAGCAAGTGTCTTACCTGCTTCAGTGTGGCTGAAGTTACCAAAGGAATTAAACAAAATGCAAAAAGGATTGCTAATCACTCTAGTTTGCTTTTAGTGAGTGAAAATGTAAGAAGTAAGAAGCACAGTAGGGTGGAAGTATTTGTCCTCTTGATTCCCTCAGTGTCTTTCACATGCTAAGTACATTGTGGCACATCCTTCTGAAATGTTGTGCAACGACAGTAAGGAAAGAAGGAATCTGGAAATATTTGATGTTTTTTTGAAATTGTTACCCTCCCTTTTTAACAGAAGAAAATGTACAGGATAAGGTTAAATAACTTTCTCATGTTCAAAAAGCAAATTTGTGCAAAGCTTCAGAGTAACCATTTATTCCTCACTGGAACCCATGACAAGGTGGCTAGTCATTAAGGATGGCAAGGAGAGGAGGTCATGTTTAGCTCTGCCATATGTAAATAACCCTTATTATTCTTTCTTCTTGTTTTCCTGGACAGCAGTAATGTTTAAAAATTAAAGCAGGGACTTCTAGTCAAACAAAGCTGGCCTTTTCTCTGACTGCTGCCAACTCCTTAAGCTCTTGAGCAAGTAATTTAATGTCTCTGCCTCAGTTTCTCTATTTGCAAAATGAGGATGAAAGCCTTCACAGCCACACAAGGCTTTCTGATTGAAAAGATCCTATTATCTACGTATGTGTAAATGAATGTATAAGTAAATGAATGGAATCTTTGCCTGCCTTTATTATAGGCTTTAGGATTCCTGAACACTTGTTCACCAGGAAAGTTCTTCTCCATGCAGGTCAGCAAGGTGTACAGGACAGAGACAACAAGGAGGGAGGAAGGCAGACAAAGTAAAGAGAACTGGGTGGGGAAAGCCCAGAAGCTCCCACTGAGAAAAGCTGGAATACACCTCCTTAGCCCAAAGTCAGCCTTGTTAAACTGAAGCCTGAAAAGCAAAATGTAGGATTTTGAAGTATGACTTGTCTCAATAGGATGAAATTACCCAGTCTTTAGAGGGATTAGGCATTGCAACATCCCACTTGACCTTGAAATAGAACTGGAAAAAAAATTTGATTTGGTGTAAGTCTGGGTAAGAATTTCATCTGGAGTCAGCCTCATACTTCAAAACGGTCTAGCCAAAGTTCCCTCACTGCTGGTAGGTTTGTAAAATAATGTGTGTGCAGCAAATCCAGTGAGAGGCTGTGCAGTTCAGCAGAGACCAGGATATGCAGCACCAGAGCTGGAGACAAGTTATGAATGAATGGGTGCAGTTATCAAGCAGATATAGAAGCTCAAGTTCTAGCAAGCATTAAAAATACATCTGCTTTTTATCAGGATTAATTATCCCAAGCAGAGTACTGACTCATTTGCCCTAGTTCTAGAGCAAGTCAGGATCTCTGTTTGACAGCCCTTCCTGGCTTTTCACAGATGGACATTCTTTTCCTGGATCAAGAGCTGTGGTTCACAGCAGACCTTCCTGGTGGTCCTGCCCACCACAGGACAGCAGCATCCCCAGGAGCTCTCAGAGGGATCATTGTGCCCTCCAGCACCACAGTGCTTTTGCTTCTGGCCAGTTCTTGAGCGTGGCTGTGGTGAGCACAGCCATGGTGGCAGCGCAGTTCAGGATCTGACACCGGGCCCCTGGGTGACACAGCACTGCTCTCTGGTATTGCATTATCAAGATGCCTAAAACTGGCTCCAAAAATCTGTGTTCAGCACTCAGTACTGGCAACCAACCCCCAGTCTCAGGCTCCCCCATCCTTTCATATCCCTTTCCTCACACTGTACCACTCTCTGCAGACTCCTCATTGTAATCCTTTCTGCTCATCTGCTTTGATATGCTTTTCCTGTCTAGTTTGCTGTGGGTTGCTCCCTCCTTCAGACTGGAGAATGCCAGCAGCCCAGGAGGAGTGGCTCTGTTCCCTGGTGTGGGCCACATCCACAGCTGCAGAACATTCAGCTTGTGCTGTGACACTCCTGAGCTGGCACGTGCTCAGCTGCTTTTGGGGTCCATGTGTGTGAAGGTATCCCTGGGAAGCGTTCAACTGGGCTTGAGCACACTGCAGGCCAGGTGCTTTGGAGAGCTGAGCTTTTCAACTCTTCATAATTTCAACTGGAAACTGGACACTTGGTAACACTTCCCCCCCCCTCCCAGCTGCATAAAAATTATGGAAGTTACTAATTTAAACCAGCTCAATGTGATAGGTAACAAGGTGAACAGATTAAGAAAGCAACTCCTCCACTGAAGCTATTACAAAAGTACCTAGCCCATCAGTGTTCATTACTGTCCTGGGCATGAGGCTCATGAGGCTCCATCTCTATAGACTATTCAACAGGCTCATTCAGAGCTCTTTCTCTAATGAACAGATACCCTTCTTAGTAAAATCAGGAGGAATCAACACACTGCTTTTGTTTTGCACCTCTTGTTTCCTTGAGCTACTACCAGTTTGTTCTGACAATCAACGATCTGATGATTAACATGCAAGTGTAACTGTGATTGGAGAGAATGTGTTCCAAATGACTCATGACACTCCAAATGTCCCAATATGTTTGGATTAAAAGATATAATTTACTTCAGAAAGTATTCCAGGCAGCATGCCTGGGATCCACAGCCAAACTAGAGAAAAGTTCAAATCCAGATCCAAGGCTCTGCACAGATGTGACGTCCCTGCTTCACACAAAGAGCATTTTCCCATGATCAAAGACTGTTTGAATGTTTCCCTAGTAGTCTACTGGTGGATAAAAAAAAAAAAAAGGAAAAAAAAAAAGAACATGTGAAGCCCAGCCAGCTGTAAATAGCCTGCAAACAGGCATTCTTCATCAACTCTTTTGTTCATATTAATTTTAAATATGTCACAGGCAATAAAGTTTACCAAGCTGTAAAAATGGACAAATATTTGCTATTTGGATTTCAGCAATGTGTTCAGTAGAATCCAGTCCCAATTTTTTTCCTTAGGTCAAATCATAGTCAGAGTACGCACTGTCCTTCACTAGTCACATGCTTTCTAGTGTTAAGTCATAAGCAGATACTTTGGCTACAAAATAATACAGACAGTGCTGATAACACTGTCTCCTAGAGTGAAAGTGCAAAGGGCTCCAATCTATTAGAAAGCACAGAAAGAAAAGATTTAGATAAGAGGGCAACGCTACTGAAAAAAATTCTTAATAATCTGGGAGCTTAGGATGCTACAGCCTGCATACAAGCAGTGAGTTATGGCAGGGACACACTCTCCTGGGAACTGCAGGTTTGGGAGTCATGCTCCTCACCTCTACACAGAGACTGCACCAGTCCACATTCAGGGAACGGAGTGAAGCACAGGTCCAGCTGGCTATCTGGAGACCTCCGGAGTTCTGGGATTGTGTTTGCAAGGGACTGTGTGTCAGAGCACACACTGTGCACGAACAGAAAGTCCCAAAATGTGTGCCTACATATGTACTCCTGTGAGTATGTCTGGCACACAGGCACATGTGCTGGAGCACATGTGCAATGCACATTCCCAAGTGGTGTGGACCCATTGTGTGGCCTCTGGAGGCAGGTGGAGCTGCAGGCTGAGGCCACCTGCAGCACTTCCCTCAGTTCCAATGTGATGCCATTACTTCTCCATTGCTCTGGAGTCCCAGGCATCAAAGTAGTTCAATAGCAGGCCAGATATTTATGGAAGACCCAGAGTGCTCTTAGGGGTGAGTTACAAGTATCCCAGAAAGAGAGCATAAAGTGTGAGTCAGTGGACTCATAGTTTTGTTTTTGGTGCTTGAGAACTGCATCATTTATGACAACTTTGCAAATACATGAAGTTATTATATGACTGGTGGATGGGGCTGGATACAGCCAAACATGAACAAGGCTGGTTGTTAGATCCCACATGACTATCACTTGGACAAAAGCATATGTTGTCCACCAGGCAAATCTAAGAAGGAGTGGGAATGAATCCTTCTGAGTGCCTCTTAACATACCTCTTTGTTTGCCATATGCTTTGAGAAAGGAGAACCACGGGATGAAGTACCACCAATAAACAGAAATAGTCTCTGAAGGGCAAGGTCAGATTTAAACTACTTGGCCTGCCCTGTCATCACTTAGGGATTCCCTCCCTCTGACATACCTCATGTGTCTTGGCCAAGACAGTGCTTCCAAGGCTCTTCCTTTCCCTGAAATAACATCTGATCTGACCGGAGGGGTGAGGACACTCTCTTCCTCTCAGGATGTAAACAAATACCAACTGCCCTGCGTTTTGCATGATGACACTGATGGATAGATGCTCTGTGGCAGGGGTCCAACAGCAGCAACAAATCTGTAATGTATTTCCTTCCCCCTGTCACAGTGTATATACAATAAAGAGTCACAATGGGAAAGAAGGAAACAAGAGGCACAGATCAGTATCTCCCTCTGAGTAGCAATGAGTAAGGCAGCATCACCCTGCAGGAGGCAGTAGAAACAGGGCCTCTTCTCCTGGTTTGCTACTGGCATGTTCTGTGATTGTGTTAAAGTCTGAGGGCTTTCGTTTCCTCAGCTGTGATATCTGTATGGTACACTGAGATCTTTGGAGAGAAGATACCACAGAAGGCCCAATTTCACAGCATCTCATTCCCAGAGCTCGTCAGATGGCATATTGAGATTTTCCTCACAAGCATGTTACTGCTCATAAACAGCCTGGGGTGAATTTTTCATTCCTGTACTTCTCTTAAGTTTCCAAGCCCTGTCTTCTTTCACCTCAGTCTACAGGAAACCTGGAGCCTTCCCTTTTGTCAATGATATCCTTCCAAATTTGTAACCCGTGGTGTAAACTAGTGTCCTTGGGGTGAAATCTGACGCAAAAGATTAGGACACTTGGATCACTGTTTTGTTGACACTATAACTCAAACTCAGGAGAAACATATAGAGAGTGCCAAATCTGATACCACAATGAATTTTCCTTCAGGGAACACTGAAACCCTCCCAGTGACCCAGATGCATTACTACAGCAATAATACTGAAAAGTCCATCTCATTTGTAAAATCCTAGATCAGATAGGTCAAGAAGTAGAATTCACAACAAATAAGAATAAACCTGAGTTGTCCAGCTTTATTGTGCACCATGGATGACAGGCAGCAAATAGAATGACTAGCAGAAATGGCCAAAGGCAACAGTAGCTTGCCTACATAATTTTCATGTTTAATTATGACCATGTTACTAGAAATACAAAGAGTTGGGATAGAAATACAAAGTGGGTTTCGTGGTGGTATTCTCTCTTCAGGTTTAAGCTGTAATTAATTCCCTGTATGCACTGATTACAGAAACATAGCCACAAAATGGTGTTTGGAAATGTCTATTTTTTTTTAAATGGTTGAGCAATGTCTTCTGTTCTCTTACAATCCCCATTTCAGATAATTCAGAGGCATTAATTGTGGTATATGCATTGAAATATGTAGCATGGGCCCAGTATGCTTGGAAAAGATATCACATGTGCTGGAGCTACAGTAATATATCTGATCCTGTCATTCAGTCCATAGCATAGAATCTTGCTTTTGCAAGTTACATGAAAAAGCCCTGCTTCTAATAACAGTACAGAGCACACAGATATTTGATGCCTAGGTTTCATAATCACAGAACCATTTACTGGAAAATATCTTTATGATTATCAAGTCCAACCATTACCTAGCATGAATCTAGTCTACCACTAAATCACCTCCCTAAGTACCACCTCTTTTAAATACCTCCAAGCAGAGACAGAACACATATTTTTGTATCTAGGAAACCTAAAATTGTTTTCATCATTAGCTATATCTGTAGTATATGTAAAACTATTAAAATGAAGGGTCAGACAAATACTTCATGCAACTAACTTATGCTCTTTGCTATACTACAGAGGATGATATATCTCTCATCATTTAAACTCAGTATTTCCTATCTTTCAAAATATATAACTCATTTTATTTTATTCCAGAGATTTATTTATTGCAGAGATGGTATATGCCACTCACCTGAGTTTTTGTCAGGCAGTCGGTTTATCCTCCATACGATGGAATTAAAGGCATGCTCGTATTTGGCAGTTCCCAAAGTTACTCTCATTACTGGCTCAGAACCAGACAGACTGGTTGATCCAAAAGTGGCTCCCTTGTTCACCTTGGCTTTCAAAGATTTCTCCCCCAGGACACTCTCCCTGCGGAAGTTCTTCACCCACTCACTTGGCACAGGGTAGCGGATCATCACGTTTTCACAAGGGACCTGAGTTAAAGGGTCATGGTTGGAAGAGAACCCTGTGGACATCATCAGCCAGCTCTGCACCTCCACCTCAGCACCATTGATGCTGGCAGCTGTCCTCAGAGTAAAAGGCAAAGTTTTCTCAGCAAAGACAGTCCTGAATCTCATCAGTTCAAACCGACAGGCATCCAAGGGGTTGAACAGGATAATACGGGAGTTATTAAACATATCCTCATCCACACACGAATGGAAGCGGCAGCTGTATAATTTAATCCACTTAGTGGTAGTAGTGGGCATAATATCCTGCCTTGCAACTATTTCATTCCCTTTGATCAGGATATCATTAAGGCCCAGTCTGCATTCTGCCAGGCCAGAAAGGAAGCTGAGGACATAGATATGAGTCAGCACACTGTGCTGGAGAATCACACTATCTCCCTTGGCCAAGATGCCATGAAACTCATCCCTAACATCCACAGTGATTTCTTCTTCTTGATAATTCAGTCCCACCGTGCTTAGGTCTGTTGATGAAGCTGGCAAGTTCATCAGCGTGTCTTGCACAGCAGTGATGAAGCTAAGGAAGTCTTCATAATCTGTAGTCCCAAGCTTGATAATTTGCTCTCTCTCCGCAGTGTGTGCAATGGCTGGCTTAGGCTGATACTTTTTTTTCTCCTTGTATGTTGTGCGATCCAACCTCACGCTGTGTATCCTTCCATTCTCATCGTAGTTCTGTAGCTTGCGCTCTGAAATCTCATGATTGATTTCAAGTTTGAGCTCCCGAAAAGGCTTCTCTAGTCCCTTCTCATAAAAAAGCTGTATACATCCACTGTTAGTCAGCTTGACATATATTGGTCCCCAGTGCCTGGATGACATAATGTTCTTCTTCTCTGGGATCCTCAGCATCATTGGCCATCCATCCTTTGGCTGAGCTGGTGCCAGGTTAAATAAAGCTGCATCCAGATCATATGGCATCATGGGGTCATCATCAGGCAAGGCAGGACTGCTCACACCATCTGGGTCTCCAATCTGGAGCTGTTTGAGCTGCTCTACAGCATCTGTGTGGGTTACAGTCTTGTTTGCCTCATGGAAACTGACAGTATCAGGCTCTTGATGGAGAATAATGAGAGAGTCTCTTTGGCTTTTGCCTGGAGCACTGGAGACAGAAGAGCTTTTGGAACGCCTCTCTTGCTCCTCAAAGAATGAGCTGAATGGATTGATGGGTGAGGGCTGGACATCTCGAAGAGATTCATCCAGAAAGGGATTAGTAGCACTCCATGGGGGTGTTTCAACAGAAGGCAACTTGGTTAAAGAGGAGAGATCTAGTTTTTGAATTTTGGAGAGGTCTCCCAATGTGCTTTTAGGACGTTCTCTTTTCTTTAAAGATGTAGTGAGATTAAAGTTAACATCTGGAGCCTGTGTTTCTGCAGGTGGGGTATCTGTTTTCAAGGGAGAAAGGCTCTGTGGTGCAAAACTGACTTCATTGTCATCAAAAGTCACCCAGCTGGGAAAGCGAACTGTGGTTGGGGTAGATGAATGGCCATTCATGGAGGTGTTGTTCAGCTGCCAGTTGACAGCCTCCATATCTATCTCTTCATCTTCCTGGAGAGACGAGGAGTTGTCTTTAAAAAAAGAGGGGAGGGGAGGAAATTTCAGCTAATTATTCTGGAGTTACCTAGTTCTCTCCTCAGAAAAACCTGTACGCTCAAGGGAGGCCTACTCATATGTTGGGCAAGAATAAGATAGTCAAAAGACTTGGCTAAAATGCTGAGGAGTCTGACAAGAAGTAATTAAAAGATACACAGTTGAACACAGAAAAGGAATCAAGAAAGAAATATTAAAGGAATGACAGCAATGATTGTACTGATCTCATCCCAACTTAATGACCTAAAGGAGAAACCACATGTCACAGTGATTTTTTTTTAAATTTCCCTCTCTAAACTTTCAGGATGCTTTTTTTCTCTAGTTATCTTCTGTTATTTGCCTGGAATGTTCCCTCAGTCTTGTTAACAATTTTCTTCCCTTTTCTGTCCCCATACCCTTTGCTCCAGAGAATAATCCAGTAGGAAGATGAATGAATATTGAGGAAGAGCACATCTGCAATCTGTCCCCACATACTTGCCTGTGCACTTGCCATTACCACAAAAGCACACGGGGCATGGTGACGGCACTACAAAAGGTGCCCAGGTGTGAATTTTTCCCAGGATGTGTTCAGCAAAGAGACTCTTTGCATACCCAGTGTGCAAGAGTCCTTGGATGTCTCTGAAACATCTCTTGGCGAAGCTGTGATCTAGGGATATAGGTTAGAGTAAGGAAAAACATGGTTTTGACTTGTGTTGTGGAAGCTGTCCTCATCCTCTCTCAGAACAGGGCACCTTTGAATGCTATTTTCCTAGTCTTAGGCTCTGCCAAGACACTTCCTAGAAAACTGTATCACAGTGTGCTATTTCAGTCCCAACTCCTGCCAGGATTGTTCTAGCGGTAATAAGATGTTTTCCAAAATGAACACAAATTCTCAGAGTTAAGAAATTTAATAATTTTCTTCCCATTTTCTTCCTACTGAGCTAATGAATCAGAATGCTATGAAAAATGAGCAGCCAGCATGAAATTATACTCTGTAGCTGCACCATGTTTGCTCTACAGCAGTGCTGGCATTTGTGTTTTTTGCTTCTCCCAGACATCCCATGTTTTACACAAGTCACTGTTCTTCAGTACAAGCAAGAAGTAAATGTAAAATATAGCCCTGTGGTATAGCTGTACACCTGTGATTTGAGCATAATTTACAGCAACAACACCACCAAACTATTTTAAGTCATTATTTAAATTGCCACCAGTTCTCAAAAAAGATGAGCTTGATTTCCATTCTGCCTCAACCATAACAGACAATTTGAATTTATATTTCAGCTACCATTCAGAATATGAAATAGGGAATAATCATGCTAGCTGAAGTGCTGCCATGAGCTCATTGTAATGTCTTGGCTAACTCGATATTCTGGCCCTCTCATTCCTTCAATATGTAAGTTTACCCAACCTTCTGATCTAAGGACAAAACACACCAACCAAGTTCTAAGGGTTATTACAATTGAAAATTATATATGAAGGTGAATGATACCAATTTATTTTTCAAGCCACAGCAATACAAAGCAATAACAAGAACAGACAGCTTTTACAGACTATCCATGCATTGCAAAGTGTCTATTAAAAGAAGTGCCATTGTCTCAGTTTCTCAGATTTTCTTCTCTACCCTGCTATCTCTCTCCCAGCTTTGCACAGTGCCTGTCTGTAGCCCCTGCTACTGGTCACACCACAAGGTGCAGTGGTGTATTCCTTATCTGCTAAGTATTGCCACAAGCCACAAAACAGATTTGGGGAGAGGAAACAACAATCCAACTGACTATTATCCACAATCACACCCTGAGTGAGAAAGTAATAAAGAACCCACAAAGAATAATCTGATATTGTTCTGATCCTCAGTCCACACCAATATGTTGCCTGTGCTGTCTCACATCTTTCCAGGACTTTGGTCATCCAGCATGTAGCACCATGAAGCAAAGGTGTTATGGTATTTTCTGGAAAACATTGCTTGTTGCTTTTAGGACTTCTAAAATTCCAATGTTTATAAGATCTGGGATGCTTAAGAGCAGACCACCTCTACTCTGCCTGCAATTTTAATTTCCTTGTGACAAGGAAAGGAAGCTTTGGTTCTCTTTAATGTATCATCTTTTCATTTTTCTATGTGGCTAAACCACGACTACTTTGGCCAAAAACATCAGGTAGTATCATGTTACTTGTGCTGGGGGAAAGGCAGCCATCCAACTGCTAAAGGACATTAATACTGCAAAGTGTTTATGATCAAAACTGTGCCATGGAAGTAGGAAGAAGATCTGAGGGAATTACATACCTTTCAAAAAAGAAAGGCAGATAACAGCTTTTAGAACTGGACCTTAACAAATGCCTGAAATTTCAAATTTCTGAGTACTCATCTATTTTGCCTCTTGAGAGAAATTAGCTCAGAGCTTCATGGCGTGACTGTTCCTGTTACCTGAATATATTAATTTACATATAATTCAGATAGCCCTTTGAACTTTAGTCTGTAGTAAAATTCATACCCTTAACATGCCACACCTTCCGAAGGGGTCCTGACTTCCCTGATGTGGTCTACGCCAGTCCCTCAGACAAAGCAGGCACTGCTAAGATTTCTGTTGGCATAGCTGGATCTATTTTAGGGCTCTTTACATAAAGTCCACCAGACACTGGTATACAGACTTGGTCTCCAAAGATCAGCCAGGTCATGAGGGTGCCAGCAGCAATACTTGTGGCGTCTGTATAAGCAATTATAGAAAAGCAGAAAATGCAGATAGACAGAATCTGGAAGAAATCAAGGACCAGGCTGCTGTGCAGTTATGTCTCCATGACAAAGGTCATACTTCCACAGAGTTTCCATGACATCCATATCTGGTCATTTTCTTGCTTTTTCACATCCAAGTCAATACAACTGTGTCTGTGCACATTTTTTGAGGCAGTCTGTTATGTTTCTGATCTTTCCAAGAGAGATGGTGTAATTTAAAAGATGTGAGTGAGTGGGCCATCACTTTGAGGTGACACAACTGAACTCCTATTTACAGCCTTGACACCAACCTCATATGTGGCTCTGGGAAAACATCACTATCATATCACATGATATGATAGTTCTCTTCCCACTCTTTTCTAATTTCTGACTATAGAAGTGTTACATGTGGAACACTGTTCCTCTGTACCTCAGTATCCAGTACATTTCTAGGGCTCTCCAGAACACAGTGTAAGTGGGTAAATGCCACAGAAGGGCATATAAACCTACAAACTGATTCAATTAATAGCTCTAGTGCATCTATGCACTTGAAAATACTTTCAAGTTTATACAAGCTATGAAGCCAGGCCTGTTCTTGTCAGCTTTCCTTTTATCACAGCTCTGTTAATGGTTGAAGTTGGTCAAATCTGTAACTGCTGCAGACAGCAGCATAAATATACAGTACGAAAGTGCACAGAAACTAGATACAAGAGTATACAGCTCAAAGCACAGAAGACTTTTTGTCAACAGGAGGGTACTACCAGCTTATTTTGCACGGAAGAAATCCTGTGAAGACAGCAGTTATTACATCCACATGCTTCCTATGTACCTTTGCTAAAAATTAGTGTGTGGTAACATAAAGAAATATCCTCTCACAACCTTGCAGGACACCTTCTTCCCATGAGCTTCAAAACAGATTTTGGAGACAGAAGAGGCATCCACCTTGCCTCTTTTCAAGAAGATTACAGAGGGCAGCTGGAAAATCCCAAACTTCTTAATCACCAACACGCAACAGGTTGCAAGATAGATAGACTTGTAAGCACTCCTCAGACTTCTGAGTGTCTCTGCAAGTTCTGGCATGTAGAAGAGGTCACTGCTCACATGGGCCATGCCCTCTACTCTTGCTACTGAACACACCACATGCAAAAATTTAACAGCAATTTAGTTCTCCAACATGTTAACTGTCAGTACAAAAGTTAGATTTTATGGCACAGCTAAGAGACATTTCAAAACCACCACAGACTATATAAGCAGCAAGAGAAGGTGCAAGATGAAAGATGGAAGTCACAGATCTGATCTCTGTAGTTTCCTCTTACTCATTCTCCTCCCACTTGACTGACTTCCCAGGTCACGTTGAATGGATTCATCCTCAGGCAACTTTTCCATTCATAATACTCTGCCAAATCACAACATCTCTTTGAACACAATTGTCTAAATTTAGGCCACATAAATCTGGACTGCTTAAACCTTGTTGCATCCCAAATCTATACTACAGTAGTACGACACAGACTGTTCCCAGCAGTGGCTTAGTGACTACTTAAATACAGTGCCTGATGCTTGGTTAACCATTGCAAATTCATAATAAGTCCTGAAAGAAGTTTAAATATCAAAAGAAGTTAAATCATCTGAGGCTACGAAGAAGTTATATGAGGGAGCTTTGAGATCTCTTTAAAGCACAATGAATTTCATCAAGGTTCAATTAATTTACCCCCATGAGTCTCTGTAAGAACTGCTATATTTCATTTTAAAGGTAAGCCATCATGCAGATACTAAACTGAAGATGAAATACCAGGAAATGATGACTCAGCCCTCACAGATAGGTTGCAGCAGCCCTCTTACTGCAAGAAAACTGTTGAAAAGGACAGTCCTCTACATACTATCTTAAAGGACCCTAGAAGTTTTTGTAGACTTTTTCCATTGATGTTTTGACTTTTTCTAACAATTATCTCTCTACACAGAAGTCTGTGTTTATGGGAAGGAAGAACTACTGTATTTCAGGTGTTTGTGCTTACAGCGCTTCATTGCCCAGAATTATTTGCCTGGTGTCCCCTCCACTCACAGCACCCCTTACTGCTTGGAGAAGGAAAAGAGCATCTTCCCAACAAACAAGACTGAACTAACCATTAAGACATTGGTTTCATACTACCAGAACAATAGTCGTTGCAGCTGTAAGTCTCATTGCACTATGCAGGAAGCTATCAATCATCTTCCTCTTCTCTATCTTTATTCAGCTGGAGAAACTAATTAATTCAATCAGAGCCCTTTCACTCTTCCTTGAATAAAGAAAATGTTCAA